GATCCTCCTGCCTCAGCCTTCCAAGTAGCTAGTACTACAGGCACACGCCACCACACCTGGCGAATTTTTTTATTTTTTGTAGAGACAAGTTCTCAGTATGTTGCTCAGGGTGGCCTTGAACACCTGGCCTCAAGTCATCCTCCTACCTCAGCCTCCCGATGTGCTAGGATTAACAGGCATGAGCTACCACGCCCAGCCCAAGAAATATATATTAAATAATGATTTTGAAAAACTTAAAGGTAATCAGTAGAATTTTGTTCTCGAAAGAGAGATCATATATACATTCCATACTACTGAAGAACCTAAAAGCAAAGAAAGCATAGCTCATTAAACAAAAGAAAAAAATAAGAAAATAATTAGGGATATTACAAGAAGACAACCAAAGAATTTGCTGGAAGATTAATCCTATTAGTAATGATCAAAATAACTGACTCCATACAATTGTATATTTAAAAACAGAGACTCCAACTAGGGCAAAAAAGCAAAATCCAACATAATGCTATTTTTATCAAAAAAGTTAAAAACAAGTAGACAGGCAAGATATACAGGGCAAATGCAAGTATAATATTAAAGTCTAAGTAGAACTGGAATCAAAAGACATTAAGTTTGATTAAGAGTCATTTTATATTATTAATTGGATACAACTGAGAACAAAGACAGCCCCACATGTATCGAGCCTCCTGCCAGGCTCTGTTCCAAGTGCTTTACTTGTCGTATTCAATATTCACAACAACCCTTCACTGGCTCAGCCCCAACCAACTATTGTGATCCCCACCGCACACATAAGGAGAGTGAGGCAGAATGTGGCTACTAAGTAAAGTGCTCAAGGTGACTCAGGCAGGACAAGCGCAGGCAGGACGAGATGCAGACACTCTGCTTCCACATGCAACGTTCTCAAAGCCTTGGCACACGATACCAGCCGTTGTTAAGAAACTCATATACTGTGAAGATTTTAACATGTTTCCTGTATTTAAAACAATCTGGGCAAGGATAAACATGATAAAGAATGAACAAAATATTTAAGTGACCTTTTGGACTACTAGTGGTTTTTTTCCCCTCAAAAAGCAGCAATTTAATATAAAATTTTTTGTACAATGCTTTTAGAATATTTATCTAATGTCTGCAATTATAAAGGCATAATACCAAGAGTAGGTATAAGAATAGTAAAGTGAAAGTAAATCAATTGGTAACGTAGGAAGGAAAAAAAATTTTAAATTGGCATTATGTAAAGTAACTTATGTATTTTTTTCCCCAAATACTTAGATTTAAAAAACACTACCATTTAGCCATTTAGTATAAATTTACAGTTAAGAGAAAAAGGGCATCTTAAACTTTTCCAAAACCCAAATATGTATATTTTATTATGGTCTGTTATTTTAAAAAGTATATTATAAAAAACTAAAATAACATGTTTTGTCAAGAAGCACCAATTTGTATTTGTGATTGGCGAAGGGATAATAATGGAACTGGTTTCTCTCCCCATCACACAATGAATAAAAGGAGTTCTGCCAGGGGAAAATGCGATACCACATTACGATTTGATGTTACTACACTGCAATTAAAGAAACAGAGAACAATACAGTACAAAGAAAAGAAAAAGATTGGTATTTCCATTAGTTTAGCAGCTAAAAAACTTGAGATTTTACCTTTCTTCACAGGTTGGAAGATCATCTGTTCTGAGTTCATGGGAAGCTCTCGTGGGTCTCTGGTCCTGGTTTCTAACAGTGAGACTGCAAAAACAAGACATTCACTTGTTGATTGAGTTGTCTCTGTCAAGGAAAGAATTTTTTACAAATATTTTAAAGAGAACTTCAGATCTCCAAGTAGAATTTCTTTCTCTTCTTAAAAAAAAAAATGGCCCTGATGGTTTTCTTAAGAAAACCGAAAGTATGACAATAAGGTATTAGAAAAATAAATTATATTTATCTATAATATTGTGATCTATACTGAGGAAGAAATTATTAGAAATTATTATACTCAATTACATTTAGTATAATAATTCTTTTTATAAATACAGACTCATCAGGAAATAGTAAAAAAGTAAGATTGTCAGGAATGTTTTGGGTTTTCATTTCATTTTCTGCACCTTAAAAAAAAAGTATACATTTTCCAGGCTTTGTGTCTGGTTAAAATGGAGGCATTATATCTTTATAGGCACATACACAAAAGTATTAGAGAAAACCAGGAAAGTGAACAATCAAAATCTACTATTGTATTAGAGTTTGTTTCCTTATAAATTAATATATTTTGAACATTTCTCTATAAACTTATTCCAAGTATTTTTGTTGTTATTGTCAATGGAATTTCTGCTTCCATATCATCTTCTAACTGGTTATTGGGTGTACATATAAAGGCTATTAATTTCTTAATAGTTTTATTGAGCTATTATTTATATACCATAAAGTTTACCTGTTTTAAGTGTACAACTCAGTGGTTTTTAATCTATTCACAAAGTTGTGCAACCATCGATACCACCTAATTTCAGAATATTTTCATGACCCCCAACAAAGAAACCCCACACCTGGCAGAAGTCGCTCCTTGTTACCTGTATCCTTCCGCTCTACCGGCCCCGGAATACTTCCTGTCTCCAGAGACCTGCCTGTGCCGAGTCACACAATATGTGGTCTTTCGCGGCTGACTTCTTTCACGGGGCATGTTTTCGCCGTTAACCCACGTTGCAGCACACACCAGTACTTCATTCCTTTTTCCAGCTGAATAATACCCCATTGTATGGATACACCTGTCACATTTTGTTTATCCATTCTTCAGTGGATAGACATTTGGGTTGTTTCCACATTTTGGCTGCGTGAATCATGTTGCTATGCACATTCATTTGCAAGTTGGTGTGAACATATATTTTTGTTTCTCTTGGGTAGGTGCCTAGGAATGAAACTGCTGAGTCATATGGTCACTTTTTTCTTTAACGTTCTGAGGAATTCTCAAACTGTTTTCCAAAGCAACCGTACCATTTTACACTCCCACCAGCCATATTTGAGAGATCTGGTGCCTCCATATCCTTGCCAACAGCTGTCGTTATTGTCTTTTTGATTCTAGCCTCCTAACTGGTGTGAAGTGGTATCTCATTGTGGTTTTGATTAGAATTTCGCTAATGACTAATGATGCTGAGCATCTTTTCATGTATTTATTAGCTATTTGTACATCTTCTTTGGAGAGATGTCTATTCAGATCTTTTGACTATTTCTAAATTGGTTTATTTTTATTTTTATTTTTTTTTAGAGATGGAGGTCCCAATCTACTGCCCAGGCTGCAGTGAAGTGACAGGATCATAGCTCACTGTAGCCTGGAACTCTTGGGCTCAAGGGATCCTCCCATCTCAGCTCTCCTAGTAGCTAGGACTATAGGCATGTGCCACTGTGCCTGGCTAAACTGGTTTATTTCTCTTTCATTATTGAAATATAAAGGTTATTTATATTTTAGACACAAGTCCTAAAGACTATCATTTTTTATGTTAGTTTACACCCTTCTTCTTTACTGAATTATTTTGTATTTGCATCAGTTATAGCAATAATTCACTTGGGGTGTCCAGATTTCTCACCTGCAAATGGGGAGAATTTTACCTCTTCATTTCCAATTCTTAGGCCTCTGATTGTTTCCTCTTGTGTAACTGCATTGGCTAATACCTAAAATACAATGTTAAATAGTAGTAGAGATTGTGGACATCCTTGTCTTGTTCTCTATTTTAGCAGGAATGCTTTTAGTATCCCATCAGTTAATTATGTATTCATGGGGTACAAATGCAATTTTGCTGCATTGATATACTGCACTGTGGTGAAGTCAGGGCCTTCAGCGCATCCACCACCGCAGCGATGCACACTGTACCCACGAAGCAATCGCCCACCATCCCCCCCTCACACACTCCCCACCTCCGAGCCTCCGCTGTCCATGATTCCGCACTGCGCATCCATGTGTACACATTAGTATCCCATCAATTGAAAAATGGATTTTTGTCATTGATGAATGAGTTTTCTACTATATTCACTTTACTTTTTTTTTTTTTTTTTGAGACAGGGTCTCACTCTGTTGCCCAGGCTGGAATGGAGTGGCACGATCATAGCTCACTGCAGCCTTGAACTCCAGGCCTCGAGTGATCCTCCTGCCTCAGCCTCCCTGGGAGCTGGGAATACAGGCATGAGATACCATTCCGGCTGATTTTTAATTTTTTTGTAGAGATGGTGTCTCGGTATGTTGCCCAGGCTAGTCTCGAACACCAGGCCTCAAGTGATTCTCCTACCTTCTCCTCCCAAAGTGCTGGGATTATAGGCATGAGCCACTGTGCCTGGTTGTTTTAACTTTGCTATCCCTTTTATTGTATCTTTCTTAACACTCATCACTCCTTTTCATAAAAGTATTTCAGCCTGTTTTCAGCGCATCCACTTTGTAAATTGTGTGTGTGTGTGTGTGTGTGTGTGTGTGTGTGTGTAGTTCTATTTCTCTTTAAAGCTATGCAAAATCATTAGAAATGCAGAAATCCTTTTGACTTGTTTCTTTCTTGATGCCAGGGCTAAACAGTTTCAGCAAATAATAGTTTCTTTAGAAAGAAAACCAGAGCGGCACCCGGTGGTTCTCTCTCTGCGTAAGTGTTATTACTGCCTGACTCCTGAGGCTTCTGTTGCAAGCAGAACACATTACCGCACAGTGGGACTGAAACAATGAAGAGAAAAAAATGAATTTGGCACAATTCCACAGAGAACTCGATACTGTGAACTACTGAATAATAAAAAATTTATTTAAGTTTTGACATATTTTCTGCCTCATTTTAAGTAGGAATATGCTTTTGAAAAAGTGAAGAATGTATTTTCCTGTCAAGTTTCTTTCCCTGGGTCTACTGTTATTATTACAGAAGAACAAGAACATGCCAGTAGAAGCCACGAGAGTTGCTCCCCATGTTTTAGGAATATTCAGTGAAAGAAGACCCAGGGTTAAATACATTTGGTAAAATTTTGAGTGACAAAGAGGAAAAAATTCTGCAACCTTCTAGAAAGGAAAACAAGTTCATTTTCAAGAGAACCTGCATGCCTTCATTATAACTCTAAATACCAGGAGGCCCGACAGCAGAATTTTCAGAAAGATGTCACAAGGGCTTAGAAAACATATTACCGTTTACCTTTCTTGAAAATTGACTCTACTATGTGCATTAATATGGAAAAACTCAAAAGAAATGTTCAGGAAAACAATCGAGGAAATGAAATATTAAAACAGGTGAAGTTTGCTGTTAGTTTTTTCCTATCCTATTTCTCCCTCTCTCTACTTTAGAAATAACCACCATCCTTAACTTGCTTATCATTCCCATTTATAGTTATGCTACTATATATATTCATAAATATATTTTTAAACTTTGTATAAATGTTATTATATGATGTACATAGCTTTGTAATTTTTTTCCTCTAGCATATGAACCGATTGATTGTTTTCCAGTAGATAAAATTAAATGCTGTACGGTACGGCACTGTATCAGGCATCCATTCTCCTGTTCATGAACTTTAGACCCCTTTTCAATTTTTCTCACTCAGATTGACACGGTAGTCTCCTTTTGTGGGGTATAGGTTTTTCTAGTTATATATTTAGGAGGGTTTATATTTAACTTCCCTTTATCTTATCCTTGTTAGTGGAAGCACAAGTGTATTATCTTTTCTGTCCTATTTCATTTGTTTACTTTCCTTTTGGTCGTTTTTTCCCTATTAATCTCTTGACATTCTTTATATATTTGGGATGTGAATTCTTTGTTAAATGCATTATAACTGTCTTCTCTCAGTATGTTTTATCTTTTCATTTTATTTTTGGTATATTTTGTTAAACACATTCAAAAATAGCTTTATTACAATAACACCACACAATTTGCCAATTTAAACAGTATAATTCCATGGTTTTTAGTATATTTATAGACTTGTACAACCTTTGCCATGATTTTAGATCATTTCATCACCACCCCAAAAAAACTCTGCACACATTAGCAGTCCCTTCCATATCCCGTTTCTAGGAAACCACTGATCTACTTTCTGTCTCTATGGATTGACCTATTCTGGACATTTCAGATAAGCAGAATCATATAAAATACGTGGTGTTTTGTGTCTGGCTTCTTCCACTTAGCATAATGTTTTTACAGTTCATCCCACGTTTTGGCGGTATCAATACTTCATTCCTTTTTATGGCCAAATAGTATTCCATTGTAAGGATACACCACACTTTTTATCCATTCATCAGTTGATAGGCATTTCAGTTGTTTTCACTTTTTGGCTGTTATGAACCATGTTCATGTACAAGTCTTCATGAGAACACGTTTTTAGTTCTCTTATTAAATACATTTTTGTATTTTAATAAAGATAGATTTATGAATCTTTTCCTTTTATTGATTTAGCTTTTTCTTTTTAAAAGTAATTTTTCCCAAGACCAAGGTCAAAAAGATATTATCTTGCATTTTCTTCTTGGCCTTTAAGCCACCCAGAATTGATTTTTTTTTAAGGTGAGAATTGATTTTTATATATGGTAGAATGTAGGAATATAAATCTATTTTTATAGATTCAGATACCAGGTGGGGTGGCCAACCTTCCTGGCTTGCCTGGGACTTGCAGGCTTTTGGGGACATGGGACTTTTCAGTGTGAAAACTGAGACAGTCCCAGGGAAGTGGGATGAGTTGTTCACCCCAATACCAAGTACGCTGGTATTTATTGAATAGTTGATTCTCTCCTTTGCTGATGCCACCTTTGTTATATGTTGGTGAAGTTTTTCTTTTATTGTCTTCCATTAATGTTAAAACTACGTGCTATATTTTTAGACTAATTATGAATGCCATTAATTTTTAAAGAAAATTTTCTTATAATTTTTTCTAAGAAAGTCTAAAGTTATTTGAATTGTCTGTGGTGGACATGAGTTTTTTTTTTATAGCTTTAGTTTTATCCTTTCTAACACAAAATTAAATGTCACACTTTATAGCTATATCTGATTCCTTTTGTATCCACTACTGTTAATTGCTTCCAGTGTCTTCCCTCCGGGTTCACTGCTTCTTTCCTGAAGTACGGCCTTTCTTAGTTCTTGCAGCGAAGGTCTGTAGGTAAGAAACTCTCTCCACCATTGTATATCTGCAAATGTCTTGTTTTACCCACACTCTTGAATTATAGTTTGACTAATCTTCAGTTACTTTTCTCCAGTACTTTGAAGACATTGCTCTGCTGTCTTTCATATACACACACAGAAGTGCTATGAAGTGCTGGTGGTGGTGATGATGATGATGATGATGTCTAGGCATAGATTCTTATTTTATTTGTCCTACCTGGTACTCACACGAGGAGCCTGCTCCAGGACCTGCCCCACCTTACACCATCAGGACAATATGTTGTTCAGGCCAGCATCCCAGCCTCTGTGCCCCGCCCAGGGCGGCAGGGAGGGAGGGAGGGAGGGGCAGGGTAAACATCAGCTAGTCTTGCCTGCACTGAGACACCCTTGCACATCTCTCAGACGATCATTTCAGTTCAGCAGTGAGATCTACTAGCGAAGGGGAGGCGTGCAGAAGCGGCCTAAATGCAGTCTCACCATCACTGGTGGGTGTCTTCCAGGTCTAGGGCGGGCCCTGGACACCACGTGTTTTCTCAGCCCACACCCAGCGCCTCTCCTCTGGTTCTCCTGCCCAGTCATCCAGATTCGCACTTTGGGTGCCGGACAGCTCAGCTCTTGCCGGCCCCGTGTCCACATGTTCCACTTGCTGTCCCGAATGGACAGGGACCTGGTGTCAGGATCTCACCCATCCTCGGAGTATCCTATTGCTCAGTCCCTTCAGCCAGACCAGACTTCTTGGAAATTAATACTAGTCTAAGTCTAGCAGGTGCCGACCAAATGGCAGCGGGCGTTTCATTTTCAACCTCCCACCTCCTCTCCAGAGATCAGGTCTAATAGTTCTATGTCCCTGTCCAATACTCATTTTCTTCTTTTCCACTGGATAGCGAGATCTTGGTCTCACTTGCAGCCGAGCCTACATAAATTTACAATAATTTAATTGCCTAAAGTGGTGCACGGATTCGGCTGGCACCAAGCATTCCTCACACCCAAGGTTTCAAAGATGCAGCCTGCTGGCCCTGTGATTTTCAGGTGTAAACTATGTCCTTTTCTCCAGACCTTAAACAGTGGCCCAGGCAGTCACGGACGTTTCACATCTAAGTCATTTATCTCTTTCTTGAAGCGATGACTGTATGTCTTCTTCTACCTGGCAAGTTGACCTATATTTTTATATTTCTATTTCTACGTAAGCACATTTTGACATTTCTCTATTTAAAAAAACCCACAAAGAAATGCAAATCAAAACCACAATGAGATATCACTTATCTCCAGTGAGACTGGCCTTTATCAAAAAGTCCCAAAACAATAAATGTTGGCATCGATGCGGAGAGATAGGAACACTCATGCACTGTTGGTGGGACTGAAAACTAGTGCAATCTCTGTGGAAAGCAATATGGAGATACCTTAAAGAGATACAAGTAGAAGTACCATTCGATCCAGCAATCCCATTACTGGGCATCTACCCAAAAGAACAAATGATACTGTATAAGAAAGACACCTGCACCCGAATGTTTATAGCAGCACAATTCACAATTGCAAAGACGTGGAAACAACTCAAGTGTCCATCAATACATGAGTGGATTAATAAAATGTGGTATATGTATACCATGGAGTACTATTCATCTATAAGAAACAATGGTGATATAGCACCTCTTGTATTCTCCTGGATAGAGCTGGAACGCATTCTACTAAGTGAGGTATCCCAAGAATGGAAAGACAAGCACCACATGTACTCACCATCAAATTGGTATTAACTGATCAATACATAAGTGCACATATAAGAATAACATCTATTGGATGTCGGGCAGGGGGGAGGGGGGGAGGGGGAGGAGGGGACGGGTTTATGCATACACAAAGAGTGCGATGCGCACCATCCGAGAGATGGACACGCTTGAAACTCGGACTTGGGGGGAAGGAGGGGGAAAAGGCAACATATGTAATCTAAACATCTGTACCCCCATGATATGCTGAAATAATAAAAAAAAAAAAACCCAAAATTAGTAAAATGGAAGCAGTGGAAGATAAAATCCAGGCTCCCTCTCTCTGCTCCATAACCCTAACCCCTCCACGAAGCCTTTACTGCCAAAGGAGTGCCTTGAGTCCGCACCCTTCTGGCCACCTGGGCAGCGCGTCTGCGCAAATGTTGGCATTCAACCATGAGCTGCCTTAGACTGGTCTCTGGTGGTTTAATCTATGTTGCCCAGGTTTCAGGGATTTCAGTGTGAGTCCCCCGAAAGCTGGGAAGATGCAGCCCACCGTTCTTGGGGCGTCCTCCGCAGCGTCGGGCGCGTAGCAGTCGCTTCACAAAACAGGAATTAAGCATGGCGGGCACTACTGCAGGGTGCGTTTCTCAACCGGGAACACATGAGTAAAGAGCCGAACCTTACCAGGAGCAGCTGCAGCAGCAGCACCAGCAGAAGCAGCAGGCGTCGGACCCTCGACTCCCCGCTCCCTGCGCGCCGGGGGCCCCGGGGGCCTGGTGGGCGGCCGGCACCTGCCGCTTGCGCATCTCCGGGGGCTCCGACGCCGCGGGCTGCAGGGGAGAGGGAAGGGGGCGAGTGCGGCGGGCCAGCGCTGCCGGGCAGAGCCCCAGGCGTCCGGACCGCCGAGAAGCCGCAATGTGACATATTCGCGTCCCTGTTACCGATTCCGGTAAAACCTGGCGTCTGGAATCTTGGAGTCCGTTAACTTAGCCAACACTAACGTCCAGCATCTGCCAGCATCGCGCGGCTCTAGCACTGGGGCAGACGCGGCCGGCAGGACGGTGCGGGGGGAAGACACGGCCGGCTGGGGGCGGCCAGGAGGGGAGGCGGTCCCGCCGACGAGCTCAGCTCCCTCCTGGCCGGCGCGGGCGGCACTCCCGGCGCGGAGCCCCTGCCCCGCACGCCCGGGACACCCCGCCTCCCTCCACAGGGGCCAGGCCACGGGACACGAGAGGCCTGTGGCCGCCCGCAGCCTCTGTCCTGTCGTTGGGGACTCCAGGAAGGTGCGAAGGAGAGAGACATAAAACAGCATAAGAACTGAGAAACTGCTAAGCCCGTTTTTACTTGTGATGCTATCATTGAATTCTTGATGGAGCTATTACCATCTAATAGCCAAGACATAATCAGGAACCTTACAAGTAGGACTTCAGAATTAAATTCGAGATTTATTATTCTATTCCAACATGAGATTTCTCTTTCCCTCTTCACTATTACCTACCCTTACATGCTACTGGACTTCGTTGATAATTATTCTAATTTTATTAAGTCTTTTATATTGGGTAGGTCAAGTTCTCATTAACTTAAAAGGTTTTTGTTTGTTTGTTTTTGGAGGTGACGGGCTGTTTTTGCCTATTTTTCCCCCCAGTTGAATTTTGGAATCAGTTTGTCAAGCTCCAAAAATGTCATGTTCAGATTTTTTTTTTTTTTTTGGAGACAAAGTCTCACTGTGTCGCCCGGGCTAGAGTGCTGTGGCGTCAGCCTAGCTCACAGCAACCTCAAACTCCTGGGCTCAAGCGATCCTCCTGCCTCAGCCTCCCGAGTAGCTGGGACTACAGGCATGCGCCACCATGCCCGGCTAATTTTTTCTATATATTTTTAGTTGTCCGATTACGGGGTCTCGCTCTTGCTCAGGCTGGTTTGAAATTCCCAAGCTCAAACAATCCGCCCGCCTCGGCCTCCCAGAGTGCTAGGATTACAGGCGTGAGCCACCGCGCCCGCCCCCAAAAATGTCATGTTGGGATTTTGATTAGGGCTACATTGAATATACAGATTTATGGGCATCTTTTATTTAGCCTGGCATGTAAGTTTCAAGACTGTAAGAGAAGAGACCCATCGAAGGGTTTTACTGCCCCTTCATCCACTGGGAAAACAATGCCCCGACACCCAGACACCACCCACATGCCCACTTGGTCAAAAGATGGCGGCAAAGACACGTGCCCAACTCGTAGCCATGTTTTATGGGCACCCCTGGGTGATGGCTTTGAAGGCAAAAAGAGTTCTAAGCCCCTTTAACGCCCCTGCAGCAGGAACTCTGGGGTCCAGTGAGTCCAGGCCTCACCTCTTCACCTCACCTGTGGCACTGCAGGGGAGAAAGAGTGACCAGTGTCACTCCATTCAGGACACGCAGGCCCAAGGACGAGCCAGCAATCTCCAAACTCTAAATAAAGATGCTTTGAACAGAAAGCAGTGCTCCAGGTAACCATTATTTTCTAAGATATATTGATGAAACTTGCTTCATTACAAAAAAATATCCCAACCACTTCCCAGAAGTAGAAAGACTGTGCATGGTGCCGTGCAGGGGTTTCAAGGGAGTCCTATTTCAGCATCTCAGCCAGTACATGAAATATCTTTGCACTTATATCCTCTCTTATCTATAGCTTAAGAGTTTTCGTCAAACAGGTCTTACACATTTTTGATAGGTTTATTCTGAATATTTTATAGATGTATTTTTGCTGCTGTTGTAAATGCCCTCTCCCCCTTGCTCTCACCTGTGTCTTCTGAACAGTTATTTTGGAGCATAGGAAAGATAAGAATACTACACTGAATTCTCTCATAGTTCTTGTAGTTTTTCTGTTGTTTCTCTTGGATTTTCTAGTTAGGTGATAATACTGTCTATAAATAATCAATCACACTAGTCTCTCTGCTACCCACACCTTTACAAGGTATCTGTCTTTACCCTGGTCTTATTTCATTGGCCAGGAAGTTCAATAAATATTAAAAAACAGCAATACTATTAGGTTCCTTTGTCATCTTCATGACTTTCTTTAATGAGAAGATTGGCAATGCTATGTCGATATGTATGATGTGTTTTGGAAGTTTCTGGAAAATAACTTTACAAGTCAAACAGGCTTTTGTCTACTATTTACATAGTATAAAATAAGTTATGGGCACAGTGGTGCATACCTGTAGTCCCAGTTACTCAGAAGTCTGAGGTGGGAGGACCTCAGTTTGAGCCCAGGAGTTCAAGTCCAACCTGGGCAACACAGCAAGACCCTGTCTCTAAAAAATAATAATGATATATTTTTTTAAAGTTAAAAAAAATGAGGGAGCTCTGTAGCCTGTTATGGAAAGATCTCTAAGAATATTATAAAATAAAAATTATTTAAAAAAATAAGTTATGCTAGCCTGTTGTATTAGTTAACATATTTTATTTGCTTATACACACCTATTTCCTTGTAAATGTCTGGAGAAATCTTAATGATTTAGTGAGCAAAGTCTTGAGAACATCCTAAGGTTGCTCATGACTAAATATAGCTTTCAGGAGTCAAAAGCAAATTCTATCAAAGTCTGTTCTTACACATTTCTAAAAACAACTTTATTGAGGTCTAATGGACACACAATAAACTACACATATTTAAAATGTATACTTTGATAAGTTCTGACCTGTATATACCCAGGAAACCATCACCACAATCAAGATGGTGATCACCTACACCCTCAGAAGCCCCCTGTGCCTCTTGAGAATTCCTGTCTCGCTCCCTCCCTCCCATGCCTCGCTGCTCCTGGGCGGTCACTGCTTTCTCTCTCTCTATCCATTAATTTGCATTGTCTTGAATTCTATATAAATGGAACCACACAATATATTTTTTGGGGGTCTGGTTTCCTTCACTCCACATAATTATCTCGAGATTGTTGCATCTATCAATAGTTCATTCCTTTTTATTCCTGAGCAGTATTCCATTGCATGGATTTACCACAATTGATGGACTTACACCTTTTTGATGGTTGCTGAGAAGATTAAATATATAAGACGCTGTCTTCTTTTGAACATGAAAGTCTTTAATCAGATGAATTGAGAGGGGTGTGTTACTAAGACTGTGTTCACATTTACTGCAATGTATACAGTTGTCACACATTTCTGGAGATAAAGAAAAAATTTAAAGTGGCTAGAGAAAAATGACTCATCACAACAAATAAATCACAACATTAACATCTGACTTCTTGTCACAAACAAGAGACTAGGAAGCAGTGGGACAACATATTCAAAGTGCTACAGATTAAAAAAAACCTGTCAACCAAGAATCCTATAGAGTGAGGCTATCTTTTTAAAAAAGGAGGATAAAATAAAGATATTGCCAGATAAGCAAATACTGAGAGAATCTGTTGCAAGCAGACCTGCCTTATCAGAAACACTAGAGAAAGTTTCTCAGATTCAAACAAAGTGACATCAGACAGTAAATCAAACACATACACACACACACACACACAGAGTTCCAGTACAGGTAATTATGTAGGTAATGATAAAAGACAGTATCATTCCATGTTTTTCTTTCTTGCTTACTTGATTTAAAAAGAAATTGCATAAGACAATATCTATAAAGTTGTATTATACTAATAACATAAAATGTAATATATTTGACAATAACAACAGAAATAAGGAAGGCAGGAATAAAGCTATATTAGAGTAAAAAAATGGCAGGAGAATGTCACTCAAATCCGTAAGAAGAAATGAAAAGAACCAGAAGTTGTAAATAAGAAGGTTAATATTTTAAAAAAGAAACCCTATACATATATTTCTGCCTTATTTCTTTTCTTAGCTTCTTTAAAAGACATAGGATTATATAAAGCAATAATTATAACAATGTATTATTGGTTTTCTAACATATATACACTTTATATATATAGCAATAATAGGCACCAAAAAAAGTAGAGAAAGAAAGGAGCTAAATATGGGAGCAAATTTTCTATATCTTAATAGAATTAAGGTATTATACATCTGAAGTTATTTCTGACACATGAAGAAGTATATTGTAAGCCCTATAGAGGCCATTAATAAGTTAGCCCAAAAATCACTAAAGAAATGAAATGGTACACTAGAAAATATCAACATAAGACAAAGGGGGTTGGGAGAAGGAAAAGAGGAACACAGTAGTCATGAAATATAAACAAACAAAAAAAATGCAGAAGTAAATCCAGCCATATCAATGATAACATAAAAAGTGAGCAAATTAAATGATCCAGTCAAAATGTAGAGATTGTCAGAATGGGTAAAAACATGACTCAACTACATGCTGTCTACAGAAGACACACTTCAGATTTAAAAGTACAAAGAGACTGAAAGTAAAAGGGTGTAAAAAATATGTATATCTGGCAAACAGCAACCATAAGCAAGCTGGAGGGTTTATAATAATAGCAAACAAAATATACTTAAATAAAAAATGTTACTAGAGACTAAAAGGGACATTCTGTGATGATAAAGTGGCCAATCTTTCAGCAAGATATAATAATTATAAACATATATACACCTAACAATAGAACCACAAAATACATGAAACAAAAACTGACAGAATTAATGAGAAAAATAGATAATTCAATAATAATAGTAATTAAATTCAATGTTTTACTTTCAATAATGAAGAGAACAACTAGATAGAAGATCAACAAGGATATAAATAGAGGCCGTGAAGCCACTATAAACCAGCTACACCTGACAGACATCTCTAGAGTAGTCTACCTACATCAGTGGAATATACATTTTTCTCTAGTACACATGGCAATTCTACAGAATAGACCATATAATACAACAAAACAGCCTTAATAGATTTAAAAT